CAATTAACCGGTAACCACAACAAGGATCATTTTTTATAGGAATACTCTTGTTGTGGTTACCGGTTAATTGTTCAGGCTGCAAATATTTTGTCTACGAGGGGATGCTGATTTGTGGGTCGGATGAGCAACCAGACAGACCTGACCTCTATAGACCACCTTAGCAGTAATCTGACAAAGCGGTGACGCTTTAAATCTTATTTATACAACTTTAACTCTTATATCAGTACCAGTATTTTGCTTAATCTAAAGTACAAATGTAGTTGCTGAGAGAATAAATGCAGGTATCTCAAGAGTCATTGTGGACAGAATGTACAAAATGCAACAATAATTCAATTCATTATTTGATATTTAAGTAAGAACGTCTTAACTTTGCTACAACACATTTAAAAAAAATGGTCTAATTGTCAAGATGGTACTGACAAACTGGTTTTACCTGCCGGAGTGACGGGAGCGGTCTGACAGGCTGAGCAGTCAGAAACAAGTGTGGTGGGAGGACAGGCGCGTGCACACACTCACACAAAGTAATTATTAGCTTAGTGTAATGGATAATATATAGTCTGAAGGCACTAAGGAGGTTAAACTGGTACAGTCTTAAATCCTACAATTGTGCTTGCTTTCTCTTATTGACCTAGTTACCAAACATTAGCTAGAGATATCTTAGTGTAGAGAAATGTGCTCATCTTTTTATGTAGGCTGGAATGTAAATGGTCAACATTAGGTTATTATTCACTTCTATCCGGCATTTACATTATATGGCACTCACTGTAGCCCAGAGGTTCTCTTTTTAGTAAAAATGTCAGTACAAAGTAACATTTTAAAGCTACAGTAGGTCATTTTTATTCACTCAAACTTTCACTATATCCTGACAGTAGAACATGAGACAGATAATGTGTGAAAAGGTCAGGTTCCTGTGGCTCCTCCTAGTGCTCCTAATGCTATTTGAAAGAATCCAATCAAAAACAAGAGAGATGCTTAGGGCTGGAGGCTTGAAGATGGAGGACCCCAGAATGAGACTCAGCAATCAACCATCTTTCTTGGCTCTGATCACAGATTATCTGTCTCATGTACTACTGTCAGGATATATAGTGCACGTTTCAGCAGATATGATAAATGTAACATTATAAAGCTCCCTACTGCAGCTTTAACGCTAGAGGACAGTTAGCCAGTAGCTAGGACCTGTTTGAATGTGGCTGAGTTCGAGGAGCCGGTTTACTTTGAGGAAATAGTTCCTGTGCAATGCAACCATGCTGCTCTCCATCACTACATCATCATGTTTGTGTGTGTGGGTGGGTGGACACGAAC